ACCAGGTGCAGGGCCGTCTTTAACGCGGGGCAAAAGGGGCAGCTGCCCCGGGCCCAGTTGCTCCTGGGGGGCCCAAGGCAGCTGCCTCTTGAGCCCCGCTGGCCACTGCCCACAAATCCGTGTCCCGATCTAATCCTTCACCTTCACTATGCGAGCGAGTGGTATTGCTGCATAGTGAAGGACTTACTTGTTGCTCCGCCTCCCGACCTCCCCTGCCATTTGCGTAGAATCTTCAGAACTGTAAGTATTTACAGTAGTTAGTTACAGTAATATATATTGTTTTATGGGAGTAAGGGTGGTTAGAGGGGAGGGGGAAGGGTGGTTAGAGGGGTGGTTAGAGGGGAGGGGGAAGGGTGGATGGAGGGGTTAGTAGCACAGTACTATCACATTGTTAAAAATAAAGTAATTTGTTAAATACTATATATTTGTGTCAGAAGTTGTGCTTTTTTAATTTTTATAATAATGATACAGCCATTTTATTTAATACTTTTGTGCTGATCCTTTTTTTCCCCTCTATTTTCAAGGGACACTATAGTCACCAGAACCACAACAGCTAAACGTAGTAGTTCTCGTGTCTATAACATGTCTCTGCAGGCTTTTTAATGTAAACACTGCCTTTTCAGAAAAAAAGGCAGTATTTACATTACTGCTGAGGAATACCTCTAGTGGCCACTCATCAGACGGCCACTAGAGGTGCTTCCTAATCCAGTGTTGCACAACGTGCAACACTGGCATTCGCGCTAAACACTCCTCATAGAAATGCATTGATTCAAAGCATCACTATGAGGCCACGCATGCGCAATAGCCTCCCAATGCTTCTCTATGGGAAAGCAGTGGGTTGGGTATGATATACATGTGCATATATGTGACATGTGACATTCATGTGCATTGTATTAAAGAGGTGATCTGTAATACACTCACAAATTGTACGTTACTGTGAGTTATATTGCTGTAGAGCTTGTGATACTCACACACTCCACTTTTCTATGCATTTTATTCTGAGGTGATCTGTGATGTACTTGCACATCGCTCTGGGCTCTGAAGTCAACACAGTGGATTCCTCTGATCAGCCCATGTCACTAGAAACCACTCCAGTTCCCATGGAAGTTGAGAAACCTAGCTTCCATACTGTTGAAATACAAGACGCAACTGCTGAAGCAGTTGATATACCGCCAAAATCCATGGAAAAGTCAGGTTTCCTAACTGACATTGGTTTGTGGCCCAACTCATCTACTCTTGAGATGCGGGAGTATTGTTCCAAAAATGGAAATTCGTCAGTAAGGAAACCTCTGGAAAAACTGCGCAATGAAGGATTTCCAAAATCATTTAAAGATGGACCCATGAACAGTCTCAACATCATATACGCGCTGTGATTGATACAGCCAAATTTTCAAAACTTGAAGGTCGGATTGACTATAAAATGCAACAGCAAATTGAAGAGCTGACCACCTATGGGCAAAACCAAGTAAAACGTTTGCTTAGTGTCATCTTTTTCTTGCTGAGAGAGGATTGGCTTTTAGAGGTGATGATCAGACTATTGGATCCCCACATAATGGCAACTATCTCGGTATTTTGGAATTTCTGTCACAACACATCCAAACAAAGGCAAATAAAGGCAAAGGATGTACAAGTTATTTATCAGCAAATGTCTGTGAGGAACTCATACAAATTACTGGGGATAAGTGTAACGAGAATATACCCCAACACGCAGGATTCAGCTAAACAGAAGACAACACAGAGGAGAGATACGTCTACCGGACCTTAGAATGGCCGGACTTGACGTATATGAGAGGAGACAGAGTCAGGAACAATCCTAAATCAAGGGCACAGAGAGACAGCGTAAACTAGGACAAGCCGGGGTCTGGTACACAGTAAACAACAAGCCGACAACCAGAACAGATAAGGATAAAGAGAAAACGTAGTCAGAAACAAAGCCAAGGTCAATACGGAGAAACACAACTGAACACAACAAGCGCTAGAGGGAACTGATACAGAAACCATGATAGGGCAGGGAGTAAAGGGAGAGGTAAGTTTAAATAGCTTCACAACTAATGTGATTGGCTCCTGTCATATCCACACCCCCAAAAGGTAAGTGTATGGGGAGTGTGGTATGACAGGGGCCAGTGGGAGCCTTTTGACAATTTAGGCTCCCACTGTCTCTTTAAGAGCGCGCCCGAGACTCGCGGCGCGCTCTTAGATTCAGGCGGGACACGTGACCGCTTCTCGCGGTCACTGCCCGCCTTGCTAGTGGAGCCGTCGGATGAGCCGCGCGCGGCTCGTGCAGCAGCATGACCGCGCGCGGCTTGAAGAGAGGACCGCGGCCGGCCCCTGGAGAAGGTGAGTAACGCTACAGTACCCCTCCCTGAGGACACGCCCTCCGGGCGGGTAGGGCCAGGCCTGGCCGGAAAACGAGAATGGTAAGAACGCACAAGGCGGGGAGCGTGAACAGCATCAGCTGAAATCCAACTGCGCTCCTCAGGCCCATAACCCTTCCAATGCACCAAGTACTGAAGTCGACCCCTAAGGTAACGAGAGTCAAGAACAGCAGAGACTTCGAATTCCTCATGACCCTCCACGGAGACAGGAGGGGGAGGCGGAGAATGCCGGGTATAGCGGTTGCGTACGTAAGGTTTTAACAACGAAGTGTGAAACACATTAGGAATACGCAGATTCCTAGGAAGACCCAAGGCGTATGAAACAGGATTAACCTTATGCAGTATACGATAAGGACCTATGAAGCGGGGAGCCAATTTCATAGAAGGCACCCGCAGGCGAATATTCCGCGTGGAAAGCAAAACCCTGTCCCCACAACATAAGTAGGAGCCGCCCTGCGATGCTTGTCAGCCTGAGCCTTCTGGCGAGCAGCGGAATCCACCAAAGAACGCTGAACCTGCTCCCAAGTATTACGCAAACCAGCCAAATGCTCATCCAGAACTGGCATGCCCTGTGAGGAGAATGCAGCCGGAAGAACAACGGGATGCTGGCCATAGACAACGTAAAAAGGGCTTTTGCCGGAAGAATCATGAGTGGCATTATTTCGAGCAAACTCAGCCCAAGGAAGTAGGTCAGACCAATTGTCCTGATGGTGAGACACAAAACAACGAAGGTACTGCTCCAGAGACTGGTTGGCACGTTCAGCAACTCCATTAGACTGGGGATGGTAAGCGGAAGAAAATGAGAGAGAAATACCCATTTCTGAGCAAAAGGCTTTCCAGAACCTGGAAATAAATTGACTACCCCTATCGGACACAATAGATACAGGAATACCATGTAACCGAAATACTTCTCTAGCGAAGATAAGAGCCAGTTCCTTGGATGTGGGCAACTTGCTAAGAGACACAAAGTGAGCCATCTTGGAAAACCGATCTACTATCATCAGGATGACTGTGTTACCATTCGAAGGGGGTAATTCAACAATAAAATCCATGGATAGGTTAGACCAAGGTCTCTCGGGAACTGGTAAGGGATGCAGAAGCCCACAAGGAACTCTACGAGACGTTTTCATACATGCACAAGTAGTACAAGCACTTATATAGTCAGTGACATCCTTACGTAAGGAACCCCACCAAAAATATCGAGAAACGGCTGACATCGTTTTGGTAATACCAGGATGTCCAGCAGTCTTAGTATCATGATATAATGACAGAATCTCCCGTCTCTCGGGAACATCAACAAACAATTTATCAATAGGCCTCTCGCTAGGTGCCATACTTTGTTTTGCCTGTATGGTCTGCAAGAGGGATGAAGAAATAGACAACATAGTAGTGGCTATTATACTGTCTGGGGGAATGACAGGAGTAACATCAACCTCCTGTTTGTCAGTAGTTTCGAACTGTCTGGACAGAGCATCTGCTTTAATGTTGCGATCACCTGGCCTATAGGTGATAATATAATTGAAACGGGACAAAAATAGTGACCATCTGGCCTGTCTAGAAGATAATCTTTTAGCTTCACCAAGGTAGGATAGATTCTTGTGATCAGTAAAAATTAGAATAGGATCCTTAGTTTCTTCTAACAGATGTCTCCATTCTTTAAGGGCTAAGATAAAAGCAAGGAGTTCACGATTACCCACATCATAATTCCTTTCAGCTTTGGACATTTGTCTAGAAAAGAAGCCACAAGGATGCAATGGCTTTTCAGGCGATTCTCTTTGGGACAAAACAGCACCTACCCCGATTTCAGAAGCATCAACTTTAAGAATATAAGGCAGTGAGGGGATAGGGTGCTGTAAAATAGGTGCCGAGGCGAATGTAGTTTTAAGAAAGTCGAAAGCCTGAAGTGCCTCGGGAGACCAGACACGAGTATTACCACCCTTTTTTGTCATACGGGTAATAGGTGCTACAATAGAAGAAAAACCCTTTATAAAGCGTCTATAATAGTTAGAGAAACCAAGAAAACGTTGAATTGCTTTCAAACCCTGTGGTAGAGGCCACTCTATAACCGCAGAAAGCTTCTGGGGATCCATATGAAACCCTTTGGCGGAAATCAAATACCCCAAGAACTGGACTTCGGATTGGTCAAATAAACATTTTTCTAGTTTACAGTAAAGACCATTATTAAGAAGGGTCTTCAATACCGTTGTGACATGCCTGTGATGAGTGTGTAAATCTGTAGAATATATCAATATGTCGTCCAAATATACAATTACAAATGTGTGAATAAAGTCTCTTAGGACGTCATTAATAAATTCCTGAAATACTGCTGGGGCATTGCAAAGACCAAATGGCATAACAGTATATTCGTAATGACCGGATCTAGTGTTGAATGCAGTCTTCCATTCGTGACCTTCCTTTATGCGTATTAAATTGTATGCACCTCTAAGGTCCAATTTGGTGAACACAGTAGCATGTTTCAGCCTGTCAAATAACTCTGTAATTAAAGGTATAGGGTATGCATTTTTGATAGTGATTTTGTTTAGACCTCTATAATCGATGCACGGTCTTAAATCACCCTCTTTCTTAGATACGAAGAAAAACCCTGCTCCAGCCGGAGAAGAGGATCTCCTAATGAACCCCTTTTCTAGTGATTCTTTAACATACTCCTCCATGATACGGTTCTCTTGAATAGATAAGGGGTACACCCTGCCCTTAGGAGGTATAGTGCCAGGCAATAAATCGATAGCACAATCATAGGATCTGTGAGGCGGTAATTTATCAGCTTCCCTTTTATCGAATACAGTCTTGAGAAACAAGTATTGAGGAGGTATAACAGTAGACAAAGGAGGAGTAGTAGGAACATTAATGGTATTTAAAGGGGTGACTTTAATCATACAAGAGTCGTGGCAGGTTTTACCCCATGATTTTAATTGTCCCAATTCCCAGTCAAAAATGGGATTGTGAGAACACAACCATGGGTACCCTAACACGATATGAGAAGAGGGAGAGGTGATAACCTGAAACCGAATGGTCTCAAAGTGTAAAACCCCTGTGTACATGAATAATGGTACAGTTTCATGGGTAACGACTGGAGTTTTTAAAGGTCTACCATCTATGGCCTCAATGGCCAAGGGTATCTCCCTTTCTCTGACGGGAATGTTATTTTTCGTAACAAACTCAGAGTCAATAAAGTTCTCAGCAGCCCCAGAATTCTGCTATACAATTCACCCCCGTATGAAGGGAAACAGGGAGAAGCAAACGATTAGGAGGCAATTTAGGAGACTTAGAGATCACACCCAAGGCCAGTCCCCTATAAGGTCTTAGGTGCGAGAGTTTTCCGGACGCAAAGGACATTCCCTTACCATATGGTCTCGCCTACCACAGTATAGGCATAGTCCATTCCTTCTTCTAAGTAGTTTTTCAGTATCTGAGAGTTTGGCAACCCCTAATTGCATGGGTTCCTCCTCGGGTACTTTAACACTCTCAGGTTTATCAACTCTGGGGTTAATAGATGTGACCAGACGTCTATTCTTGTTTTTGGTATAAAGCCTGTCGCAAATTCTATTATCTATATCAATGAGGTAGTCAATAAGATCCTCTAATGGAATAGGAAGCTCCCTTGCCGCTATCTCATCTAATATAGTGTCAGATAAACCTTCCATGAACGCAGTAGTTAACCCATTATTGGTCCAATCTACCTGTGAAGCAAGGGTACGAAACTGAATAGCATAATCCGCCACAGACCTAGACCCCTGTTTAATCCTCATTAATGCTCTTGCGGCATTCTTTGACCTCTTTGTTGTGTCAAAAGTTCTACGAAAAGCCGCAAGAAAACTATTGAAATCATGAACCATAGGTCCATTGGCCTCCCAAATAGGATTTGCCCACTCTAGTGCTTTGTCAGTAAGTTGATGCATCAAAAACCCCACTTTAGACCTATCAGTGGGAAAGGAATGAGGATACATCTCAAGGTGGAATTCTATTTGATTAATAAAACC